CCATCCGCCAGTGCAGCTCCTGGTGAATTGGGATCTGGCAGAGCTAACAGCCCTGAGCTGCTGCTTCCCTTTGAACCTGTGCAGTTGCCGTAAGGATCGGTTTTGTAAAACAAACGCAAAAAAAGTAAAAACAATACGCAATTTCAGCACATGCACATATTTATATTACAAGCAGCACTGGTGCTGGGTGCACGAACAGTCCCTGCCTTGGCAGCACCTGGGTATCAAGAGACTCAGTAAGTTTCTTAGTTTTTTCTCCATTAAGATGCAACCAGACTGAAACATGTTAGAACCACGTTTCCTTTAAGAAGCAGAAATCTGCCAAAAGGAGTTTATAAAGTCCTGTTCTTGTACACACAAGATTTACTTGCAATTATGTAAGCCTGAGCAAGAGAAAAAACAGCATTTGAGGGGTTTCCTGACCAGAGGTGACAAACGCAGTGTTCCATAAACTACTTCTGTTCATCAAAGCTGTCTGCAGCACTCGGCTGGGCAGGAGAGGGGCTCTGTGGATGTGCCATCTGTCAAAATAAAGACAGGATCAGCCTTGGAACATCCGAACTCAGTTGTAATTATGACCGAGATAAACTACTGCGCAATTCTCAGCTGACACCATAAAAGGAACGAGACATGGCAAATCGTTAAAATGAGGGACATTATTAACCCTCAGGCTTTGTTCTCTTGCAAACTGGAACTATAAAGTTAGAGATAGTGTCGAGGTGCTGGAATGGCCACCAAAAAAGCCTTTCAATTTTTTCTCTTGGCATTGACGAATAACCTGCTGGAACAGGCAGCGGCATTCGCATTCTGCTGTTCCCTTACTGTTAAAATGAGCACCCTTGATTGTGATATGGGGCACTTTTGGATGGGAATTATGGAGATACTGCAGTGTGTGTAATACCAGCAGTGTTGGGCTGCAGGGTAAATCAGCATGGAATTCTATGGATTTTAAAGTCATTTTATCATTCCCAAAAGAAAGACCCCGTGACCTGCCTGAAATTTGCGCCGTAGTGCCTGTGTCATTAGTGGAGTCAACCCAGACCCACATTCGGTGTTTTCTTTGCCATTTAGTGGAGTGCCTCCAGGACTCCTGAAAAGACAGGAAATGGGAGAAACTATTAGTTCTGTTGTTTTTTTCTCTCCAGAGAAACAAAACAAAAGAATAGGATGGAACTTACCTCTGGATATTGACTTTCTTCAGATGTTTTCGAAGATCTAAGTGATATTTAGGAGGGGTACTAGCAGAACAAAACAAATTGTTAAAATAAAGTGTTTTCCACTCTCTAAACAGTGTTTATCAGTGTTTAGAACAGGGGAAAAAAAATCCAAAGAAAGGAAGAAAGTATCTTACGTTAAGGAGTTTGTAATGTGAGCTGTTGGCATGGATTTAGATCTCAAACTAACACTCTGTAAATCTGAGACCGTAATTAAGGCCCTGCATATCCTCACTGGTGATTCTGCCTAAAGGGAGAAAAGACATAGAAAAATAAAACTTCCAAGTGTCTCACTGACATTAAATCTACTTAATATTTATATTCTAAAAGATTTCATAAAATCATAGAATCATAAAATGGCTGGAGTTGGAAAGGACCTAGTTCCAACTCCTCTGCCACGGGCAGGGATGCCTCACACCACACCATGTCACCTAAGGCTCTGTCCAACCTGGGGTTTATGGCTGTTACACTTCTTTCAATCATCAAGATTTGAGCATGCCTTGGCTAAAAATATTTATTTTAAGATCCTCAAACTTTTGCAAACAAGATTTCAGCTGGGCAAACAAAAACCCCACATCTGTTGATAACATACAGACATAATGCTAGACGCTCTTAACGTAAAACCAGAACGGTCCTGCATGCCAGGCAACATTGAAGTTAGTCACTTTGTTACTTCACTTCAAGTGCTGGGTGTAGGATCAGAATGATCACTTAAAGCTGATCACTGGGGTTTTGAAGAGAAGAACTAATTACTTGAGAAAATTCTATTAGGGACTAAGGCAGGAAATACCCTGGTTTAAGATGGAGTTTGCCTCGATACACCATTGTCCGTTTAACATGTCCTCTGGTCTACCTTGTCAATCCTGTGTCTGCTATCTGCCTTCCTCAGTTTAACGTTCAGGAGGTCTTTGAGGGTGATCTGCATTGGCCCATCTTTTTTCACTGGTGGTATCTGAATACAAAGATGGTTGGAAGGGAAATTAGGATTGGCAAGTGACTGAAGGTTCACAAAGACGCACATTCCTGGTGGAACCAGGTCCAAAGAACCCAGCCGTGAGAAGGAAAAAGTAAACAGAGGAACCTTCTTACTCCCTACCAGAAGTGCTTTGGAGCCATTGCCCCTTTTGAGGAGGAGAGGTGCTGGAGGCAGTTTTGGTGGGGGCAGTGGAGGCGGTGGTGGCGGAGGAGGAAGAGGTGGAGGGAGTGCAGATGCAGGCTGCAGCTGTATTGTAGAAGGCCTGGATACTGGTGATGGCAGGCCCATTTTCATTGGTACAGGAGCACCCACAACTGGTTTATTACATCTTTGACAAAGAGAATTTTCTGAAGACGAGGCTGTGGTTCCATTCATCTGAAAACAAGACAAATAAATAAGAGAATATTACATCCACTGGCAGAAGTAGATGGAATTTTAGAGAGCAAAATTTCTGAGTTCAGATGATTTAGAAAGACATAGGAAGCCTCTTGCAAAGCTCACCAGCAAACCACTTCCCTCTAGCTGTGAGGTAATGCTGAATGCAGAGGATGACCAAAGTGAAGCTCTTCAGATCTGGGTTTATTGGAACTGGCCACAGTGCCTTATGTGTTATGCAAATGTTACCCTGCCCCACCAGGAATGAGACTGACCTGGAGTGTTCCTTGTAGTCTGGAAAATTCAGTTTCCAACTTTTTCAGCTGCTCTCTGAACGTATTTAGCTCTCTTAAGTAGATTTGTGATGGAAATATGGTGTCTTTAACCACCTTAAAACTCTAAGCATAAAAAGAAACCAGATTAGCATTTTCACCATCAAGTTATGTTTCTAGATACAGAGCTATGATTACTCCTGGAAGTTCCATCACAAGGTCTTATTGTAGTCAACAGAAAGGCACAACACAAAGATACAAAATTTCACTAAATAGTTCCTTGGCAGGAGCACAAGGAGTGACTTTCTCTCAAAAAAAGAATTAATTTCATCTAGGAATTCTGAAGTCTAATTCACATGACCTGAAAAGCTCATACAATCATTTCTGCTATGAGAGACTGTACCGTGTCACTGCAAATCCTCCATATTCCAATTAAAAATCTACAATTGCATGTAAGCATTTAATATCCACAGCTGCCTTGACACTCTTCTCTCATTTATTCCTTCAACAGTAAACACATAACTAAATTTACAGCTTAGTTCTCCAATCTGACTGTATATCCTGTACCTGAGCACTAAGAACAGCCCCACATGCTGTCAAAAGTAGAGAAGTAGAAAACATACCTGTGCAACTGCGTTCTGGCACCAACAGTACAAAAATGATGCTGTTGTTGTGAAGGGTTTTACCACATTTGTCACACTAGGCAAGGCTAGTGACCAGAGCGAGGACAGATGGCTTGGGACAGATGATGTGTTCAGAGGACGATCACCTGTTGACCTGGAACAGAATGTTTCAGAATGAGGCCATAATTATATTTCTCATGTCAGCCTTTTAAAAGAAGCTAACTGTGACCAATCATCTGGAAATTACAAGTACCAGCAACAGCAGGTGACAATAGAGCAAACATGACCACAGAAACCAGTAAAGATCAAAATACATTTTGATAAAGGGAGGTGTCATATTTATAATATATTTTTATCCAAATTGCTTTTCCTGCTTATAAAAAGTTTATGATAGAGTACCAGATGATATACAAAAGATACCTGCATTCCAATACCTTAAGGGGGCCTTCAAAAAAACTGGAGAGGGGCTTTGGACAAGGGCCTGTAGGGACAGGACAAGGAGGAGGG